AATAAGCATTATAATATAAAAGAAACTTCAATCAAAGTTACGAAACCTTAAGCAAACATTAATCTTATGGAAGAAAAAATTGCCACAAGTTCACGTGAAACTTTTTTTATAACTACATTGATGGAAATTACGAATATATTAACCTAATGAAGATGATAAATTTTTGGAAAATGATAGTACAAGTTTTTTGAGTGAAAGCTTAATATCAGAGAATTTTGGAACTGAAAGTATTACAAATGATTGCAAGATTAAAATATGTCTATTTGTCTGAGATGAAATTGGATTTGAAAAAGTATACATGATGACTGATATAAGTGAAAACGAAGAGCTTAACTGGGAGAATATTGACATAGATATTGATAAAAGTAATGTGACTTCAATACCAGTATTAGAACCAGAATCAGAAGAACTAACAGAAGGAACAATATACTTAATTGAGGATTTACAAAGTAAAATCTAACATCTTGTGTTCTTTTGGATACTATTGATGGTTGTATTTGACGTTGCTCAAACAAAACAAACAGGCAACGGTCTTTAATGCAACTTGTAGATACATGGAAAATGGATAAACTGTATTTATTAGATGTTTGTTATGCTCACTTTATATATGACCAAAAATCACACAAATCACATACTAAAAAGCAATGACCAATCGAAAAAAGTTGGATATACAATCACCGGTATCTATTCTGCAACAAGTATAGAGCTTTTTTTAGCCATGGGAAGACATATATACAATACTCGGTACATGTTGGTGATCGTAATATCCAGGTGCCTTGTGTTGGCTTAAAAGTTTGCTCAGCTTTTTCTCACAGTGAGTTGCCCGAAAGTAATCCTAGTGCTGAAACATCTGATGAATATAGACCATGTTTTATATATTCAGAATGTTTCAATTCAGAAAGAGTGCATTTTTTTAAAAGAAATAAGCGAGGAAATAAACTACTTTATTCATGTAAGAATATGTATGGTAATGATGTAACTGAAGCCCTCAAGCTTATAGGGAATTGGATATTAAATATCTCAGAATACGCAGAACAAGAACATAAAGAAAAAATCCTATCATGTTTAAGCACAACATTAATAATACTTAACAAAATAGAATTACACCTGATTAATCCTCCAAGTCTGTTATTTGTTAAAACTGCTTTAAGATTGAAAAACATTAATATTTTAAAAATAAAGGACATCAAATATGACTTTACTACAGAAACATCAATTAAAATTGGAGAAACACTTGGAATCACAGTATGGTGGTCATGTTCTGAAATACAAACAAATAAAATAAAACTTGAAGAACCGACTTCTTTATCTGAATATCAAAGCGGGTTTCCTAGTTGTTTGGCAGGATTTTTTAAAGGACTTATAACTACATTAGTAAGAAAAAATTCGAAACTGTAAACCAAAAAAGAAAAGAAAGAGGTTTGGCAACAAAGATTTTTGATATGACCCGAGCAACTAAAATATAAATTTTTTTGATGTCAATTATTTTAAATATCACCTTTCCTAGTGCAAATGTATGGCTAACGCATATTATGAGCTTGCTGTGCCAAAAGCCTACATTACTGTCTTCATTATATGATATCTTATACGCAGCCAACATTGTATCGCACACGCAAAGATATAAACGACAACTAGAAAAAAATAGAATGAAAGAAGCACATCCAGAAAATAAACTTTGGAAAGGAAAAAATGTGCAAAACATTGCAGTAATAGACAATGTTGACCTTTTAGAAAAAACTTATGTGTATGGTAATATCTTTGATATTACACGCAATACATTTTACACAACCTTAAGAATGGTGTTTCAGTTTGATATAAAATCTTTTAATTCTGAAACAAATACTAATAAAAATAAATACGTAATCCAAAAAATTTTGGTACGTCAGAATTTACCAATGATTTGCTTTTAAATTTGAAAAAAAATTTTGTGATTTTTTAAGCTTACGAGCGGAAGATTGGAGTGCGAATGATCTTCTTCACGAAGTTGCTCAACAAATAAAGTTAGGATGCCAAGTTTCACTACCCAACATTGTAATCCTCCAACTTGGGAACAATCCCAACTGTAATGAAAACATTCATGATGCATGCGATATGTATTTTAATGATGTGGGTGTAGAAGAAAACAATCATTTATATGTAGCCTGTGATGAAGTGATATTTCGTTGGCTAATTCCATATAAAGATAACAACGAAAAGGTAGTTTTGCTTTTGGGATAGTGGCACACATCCAAAGATATATACAGTGTATTGATAACTATCTTTTCAGGATATGGAATATTCAACTTAGCTGCAATTCTTGAAGTCAAATACTTAGACAAACTAGAGAAAGTAATAGACTACCCAGCAACTTGCCAAGTTCTCAAGTTAGTTTGGGTGGCTGTTGGTATAGCGATCAGTAAATATTTAATTATAAAAAATGAAAAAATAGATAGTATTGAAAATGGTAGTAATCAGGTATTAAAAGTTTGGTATTATTACTTCAAGTGGGTGGGATACTGGGTAGGCATAAGATTGGAATTCACAAAAGAAATTTTGAAATGCAGTTCAAAAATCTTTTAGTGTTTTCCCCCTTATTTCCTGTGGTGGGAAAAAGCAATTATGCAAGGTCTGTCACGTACTTTTTGTCATATATTGAGGATGACCCATCACTTAAAAAATTATTTCAAAAAGTCTGTTCAATTAACCTGACACCCCTGGTCACTATTTTGTATTCAATGAAGCCCTAGAATAGTTCGGTGTGAATTTTGTTAAACAAAACATTAAGGGAAAGCCTATAGATAATGAAGATCTGAAACAACAGATTGCTTCTGCACAGAATGAAAGAGATCATCTATCTTTATTATTATCAGAATATGTAGGGGATAGTACTATAGCTAGAAAAGATCGTGTAGTTAATTTATATAAAAAAGAGTTATGGAAATTAGTTACTGAATTGTTAGATATTTTTTCTTCAGTAGAACCTGAAAATCATAATCTATTTAAATATACAAAAGAAATGAATAACGTTGGATTTCAAAGATTATTCTCATGCTACGATATTGGCATTTCACGACTACAAGCTATTTTAAATCAAGACGTTTATAAGACTAAAGCGAAGAATGTTAAAGGCTGCCGTGCTCGCAATATTGTTACATACAAATTTGAAAGTCTCCAATCAACGATAATAGATAATGATAACAATAGTAAAAAAAAAAAAAAAGAATTAGGAATGAAAAAAATACAGTAGATTCACATTCAGAGTTAAGTCAAAACAATTCTGTAAAGCTTCAGTGTCGACAAACCACTGATAATGAAAAAGAAATTCTTAATGTCATACTTAATGATGAAAGTTTTTCCGAAATCAAAGCTTTGGAAATTCTAGATCAACTTACTAGTCAAAATAAAGAATAGACTTTGCCACGAATCTGTAGGTATTGGAGTAACAACCGGTATAAGAAAAATTTAACATTGACAATAAATAATGATAATACTGATTAACGCTAACTCTAAAGTTAAGATTATTTAGTCGGGTCATTATATTAAGTTATCGTTAAATTTAGTTAAGGATATTATTAACCTGTATCTGAAACTTCAAGAACTATTATTCTTTTATTATCTTTGTAGTCAATATATAAATGAATAGTAATTTATCTATTTCAAATATGTTTTAATGCATTTGAATCTTTAACAAGAAAATTATCTTAGAGTTTGTATGCAATTTAATAAATGTAATTAAATTTTATCACCCACTGCTTAATTAAATTCGTCTGGATGTAGAATATCTATATTGTAATTCAAGCTTAATTAGTAAGAGTACAGCCTGAAATTTATCTTTTAAAAGAACTTTACATATCTGATATTCTCCTTTATTGTAAGGTGTATTGGCCAAGAATCACATTTTAAGAATGAATAATTGCAGCTTCACATTTTAGTTCTATACATGAATCTTAACTCTTATTAGCATCTTTAGCTAAATAAATTATTTCAGGAGTGTCGGGTAAATAATTTGATATTACCAAAGGTCATAGTGATCAGAGATTCAGAACTGGTATTAATTTAGCAATAATAATAATGATAATAGCAAAATTTCTGTATATTATTAATCATATGATCATGAGCCAATAAAATAACTTTTGATAAAGAAAATTTTAGTTATAAAGACATATAATAGTAAACTTTTATGAATAAATTAAATTCATACAAATTCAATTTGCAATCTAAAATAAAGTCAAGGTCTAAAATTATTCAATTTTGAGTTTTAAATTGCTCATATTTATCATAATATTGTTAATAGTTATACAATAAGGGTAGCTGTGCAGCATGTGATGCAGCACAGAACCAGTACGATCTCATTCATACATTGTAGTCTAGAGAGTTAATTGTATAATAATATTAGTTAAATTACTGTTTATTAAACAACCGATTAAAGAATAATTCAAAGCTATATTTAGCTTAACCTTAAGCATCACCGTAATAAGTCTCAAAAAATCTTGAAACTCAGACCAAATCTTTCCATGCCTCTTTTCGGCTACCAATTCAAGATTCAAAGGTCTGTGAATTGGAGTTTAGTTTATTAGTCTTGAAGTTTAGTTAGTTTTAGCATCTGACCAATTAGTGCCCACTTTTTCACAGTACATTAGGCTATGAAAGTTGATTTTTTGTTTTGTATTATCTGCTGACCTATGTTTTCAATTTTTCAAAATAATTTTTTTTTTTTTGAAATTCCAATTGCGCCAATTATTCTATTTTTGCCCTATAAGAAAAATGTACCAGATAAGCACGGATAGACACTGGTCAAGATCTAGATTTGTACAGGTACTAGGTTAGTATAGATTCTAGTACAGATTTAGTCATAAATTCATGTACGTACGTACCATCGCAATAACTAATACAAACACGTAGATTAATGATTGTGGAGGATGATGCTGGGAATCAAATGATGCTGGGAATTTGAATTATTTTAATATAAAATTTTAAAAAATTTTTGGTATATTTTTTTTAGCTTTTTTTTTAGAGTTAGATTAGAATTTAGGGTTAGAGTTTATAATGAAAGAGTATATGTAGGTTTTAGTAGGGTTTATATTTGTGAATTGAAACCCCAGATTCCTAGCATTATCCGATTCCCAGCATCATCTCCGACAATGATTAAAGCATAAATTATATTAGTAATCAATATACTACGAACAAACTAACTGTATATAAAGTAAAATTTTGTAAGGAATTTTTTTTGTCAAGATACTTAGAGTGGTTTCATAAGTGAAATTATGAAATATTACACTTTTTTACAGCTACCATAATAATTTCTGAGATACCTGCTCAATACCCAAAATCTCTTTGGTCATTTAGTAAATTACCTAACCAGAAATTACATCACTGCCTTCAGACTGAAGTCTGAAGACA